CCACCTGAGATAAGAACTGCCACTAGTCTGAATTTAGCTTTAGATTCTGCACCGTCTGATTATTTGAATGAAAATATATGGTTTACCTGGAAAACTTGGCATCTTTTCATAATGCATTACTATCAGTTATTTACATCTCTTGTTGTATTGTCTTGGCCAATGTTATCAATTTACACTGCCCCATTTTTATAAAGCTAAGTCACAAATACACATCAAACAGTTATAGCCAAACTAACTAGTATTAATCATACATTTCGATCTATTTGATCTCTAGCTGTATTCACAGGAATCTGAGGAGATAGTAGCTCCTAGGCATCATATTTTATCTGTAAAAGTTCGATAAATTGTTCTGTGACCGACCGGAGATTCAAGTTTTGTTGAAATTGCACTTTGCTTCATGGTGTTTTCTGGCAGTATTGTCCATTATATTGCTGACATGAAATTACTGCCAATTCATCTGATTTTCTTGAACAAAAACTGTGTGCAGCAGGCACGTGTACTCTGGGATATTCTAACCAGTGTTATTGGGGTGGTGGGATCTGAATTTAGTAATGGAGAGCGTTCCGCGATTATCACAGCGTGTTCTTTCTGTGCCATTCACCCCAAAATACTTGAAATCTTGTAAGAAACCAAGGCCTCTGACCTCCTACTTAATGCAAATCCACGACTGCCAGAAACCAGTATTCATACAATGGAATCTTCAGGGCAGACCTTCTTTATGCACTGATTTAGTATCTGTAAAAAATTACAGTTCTACCACTGCTCGAGCTGGTTGGTTTCTTGGTATGGGAGAAAAAAAAAAGCAAGTCTTGCCTGATATCGTGAAAGCCGGTGACCCTGTTCTTCATGAGCCCACTCAGGACGTTCCTCTTGGGGAGATTGGATCAGAACGGATCCAAAAGATCATAGATGAGATGGTGAAAGTTATGAGAAATGCACCCGGGGTTGGTCTTGCTGCTCCTCAAATTGGTATTCCTTTAAAGGTTTGTTGAATAAAACCTTAGTTTCTCCAAAATATTGTTTTCCCTCGCTGAGATTGATTGTCTTGCAAGTGACAGATAATTGTGCTGGAAGACACAAATGAGTATATAAGCTATGCTCCTAAAGATGAAACCAAAGCACAGGACAGACGCCCATTTGATCTCTTGGTGTGTGAACATTTATATTTATAATCTTGATAAACAGGAGGCCCAAGTTTTGTGCCATACATTCATTTTTCTTCTTTTCTTGCAGGTTATTATAAATCCAAAGCTTAAAAAGAAAGGCAATAAAACTGCATTGTTTTTTGAGGGGTGCTTGAGGTAACAGAAGCAACTAGTCTAACTTCAAGTCTTTTACATTTGAACTCTATAATGCAGTAGTTTATTGAGTTAGGACCATGTCAGGCATAGAGGCATGCTGTGTGGTACAAATTACTTGGCTTCTGCAGAAAGACAGCTATATATGCACTATGCACTCTCAAAACTCCTTTAGTATCAATATATCTTTGGAGAGTATCCAGAAAATGACATGCATTAACAACACATAAGTGGAAAATAGTTGTTTGTTTATTCTGTAATAAACTAGCAGAATTTACCATCACTTCAAAAAATGTGAAACAAAGGCTTATGAAGTTTAAAGAAGGTACAAGAGGCAATATTTTCTCGGCAATTATCAGGAATTAGCTCTTTTTTGTTTTCAGTAGAGGCAATCACCAAGGTTCACTTGACGTTTATGTTCTGATAATCGCGTCATTTATTCTTAATGAACTACCAATCTAGAGACATGCTCTTTTACTGTGCAAGTAAATGTGCCTTGAGGTGAAGATTTCACTTCGCCTATTGAAGAGATGGCATGTGAAGGAGAGCTTTGTTGATTTACATTGTCATAAGTTTCATTACTTTGCTTGAACACTTATTGTAAATAGTAAACAGGAAATAAGTGCTTTTCTTTTTAGCTTTTATAATTGTAAAATGTTTATTAGCAAAACTCCTAGCAAACTGCAAACAGTTTAACAGCGCTATTATGTGGAGGTTCAAACTGTCACAAGAATCTGAAGTTCTTCTTGACAGGGTGTTATGAGCTTTTAGACTGATATATTATGTTGGTCAAAACATGATATAATTGCTAGATGTCCTATCAAGTTAGTAACCAGAGGTATAAGTGAATTCTTTCCTTTCCGTGTAGCGTTGATGGGTTCAGAGCAGTTGTGGAAAGACACCTAGAAGTAGAGGTTGGAGGATTTGACCGAAATGGAAAAGCAATCAAAGTTGATGCTTCAGGATGGCAGGCTCGCATTTTGCAGCATGAATATGACCACCTAGACGGAACTCTTTATGTTGACAAGATGGTTCCTAGGACATTCAGGACTGTAGAGAACTTGGACTTGCCTCTTGCAGCCGGATGTCCTAAATTGGGAGTGCGCTAATTAATCGCCCCAATTGACTCTTCATCAAACTAATTGAACAATATCTTCTTGGGATCGTTTATCCTCTTGTTCTGATGTCGTGAAGTTAAAGTTTGACGCGTGCTTCGACATTTGGAAAGTTTCGAAGACAATTAAAGATGCTGCAGGCACTGACTCCCTGTGTTTGTGGAATATCGCTATGCTTCATTCAGATATCAGCAATTGAGAATTATATGGACGGCTCAATGACAGATAAGTGTACTGCATATACCATTTTTTTCTTTAAATGAGATGAATTACGGAGATTCATTTTTTTAAATTGTAGACTGTTCCCAGAATGCTGCCAGAACTTTATGAAAACTTTTGAGAGTTTGGAGTTCCTACTCTTGGGTTGACACGGACTCAGAAATACTTTTTGTAGATTTTGACCCTTTTGCTGGTACTAGGGCTGCCTATAAATACCTTAGATGCCTTAAAGCAAACACTAGTTGCGTCCTAATGCTTTTGAAACTCTTGCACGATCGACAAAATACTGCAACCTTTCTTTTTTCTACATCTTGTTTTTTTTTTCTGGAATAATTAGGAGATACTCTATTGATGAGTATACTCTGCAGTTGATACGTGTATTATACTCCCTCCTGTCCTTTTTATCTGTCTCTTCAGCCAACAAAATTTAATCTTAAATGTATATTTGTTACTTTAGAAAACTAAAAATGCATTAACTATTTTTCTGTAATTCTAAATTCTTAAACTATAGATACAAAAGTTAGAAGGAAGTACCTTCTATGATTAAAAAGGCCCCCATCCCACTCACTTATTAATGGTCTAAGACTGACTTTTCATGTATGTAATAAATATACATCAACCGGACGCTAAAAGGGTTTGGTCGTGAGATGTGCCTTCGTATTGTTAGTGTAAAAATTTGTTACACTATCAGTGTATATAACTTAAATCCATGTTAAAAAGCATCTTGGCTTGGAGTTGGTTCGGTTTCTTCTTGATACACGAAATGAACTCCTCGTGTCCTGCCATATGCAGAAGAAAAATAGAATGACAGTCTTATTCATAAAAGCTTTTGTTTATGCCTTATGGATCAACATGAACCCCTGCCAACGCTTTTTTCTGCAACAGCATTCAAAGATCAACATGTTACTAGACCGATCAACATGTTACTAGACTATATCTACACAGATGATGTTTGAAGAGCCCCAAGGGAAAAGTTTCTTCTCTAGCTACCGTAGCTGTTGTGATAACGTTCTAACTAGTACATAGAGAGAGAGAGTAGAAATGAGAGCGAACCATCTTTTGCACATAAGCTTGAATCCGTCTAGAGGTATTAGCTACTTTCAAGTTCAGATTCAAGCTTGTGGCAGAAGATGAGTCACTTGTTTTTCTCTTCTCTTTTGCTCTTCTGTATGAAGGTCTAAAGCATTGCCTAGTGGCCATTGTCTAGGCCTCTTTAAGTTAGATGATTTCATATTTTCGTTGCTAATCCTCTTTTGGGTAGGAAGTAGTAGTAACACAGATAAGTTTGAGAAGATGGGTTTTTCTGAGGCATTTCTTTCTCATCATTCTCTGTTCACAATTAGCTCCAGGCTTTACTGTAGTTTGTTATGTTGCAATATTTGCGCAGTCAAACTAGTTCCATTAGGCCAAAACATGCCTTTTGATTATAGGTAGGTGTCTTGAAGAAAGATCAGTTGTCTCCAATTTTAGATGCAAAGTAGAATGATTTACCCAATAATTGCAATTTTAGTCGTAGTAGAGCAGCCTTAATTACCCAGAATGAGGCATGTCGCTCATTTAATTGCTCATTTTCTCTGCCAAATTATATGAGTGACCTATATTATTGATCCCATTCTAATCTTCATACACTTGAAGACAAGGCAGGAGCACAATAAATTCTTTTTGTATCAGTTATTTGTACTATATTCTGTCTTCCGTATACTACATTCTATCTTCAGTAGTAAATCAGACACTATGGTCACCACCACTGCATACAAATTACAAATGAAATTCATGTCAAGAATGTAAGCAGACAACAAAAGATTCAGAAGGAACAGAGTTTCTCCAGTCACATTTACTAGCTACCGACTTTAATTTAAAATGTTGCTCGCACCCAAGGGTTTGACCTACGGTCAATGAACTGGGGGAGAAACCTTGAAATCTCTGCTTCAAATTCCAATATAGACAAAAATACTAGGTGATTTCTTCTCATCTGTCCAAGCCGTAATGAGTAGTTACTTAGTATCAGTGTTGGTGGAAGGAAGCAGTTACCCGATCGTGGTGTATGCAAGCTGGCCCGGACACCACCATCATAAAAAAAAAAAGCTTGAAACATTGCTCAATCTAGAAAATGCTGTGATATTTCTTATTTCATAGACACTTTTCTATTCCTTTTCATTTTTTTCTTGAAATAATGAAAAGACATTCAAGTCAGGTCTAAAATTACTTATGCTAATTATTCACTTGGTTAAATGGAAGAAATTAAAGTACTGCAAGAGTTTGGTCCAACCAAGTAAAAACCTATCGATGAGAATATACGGTGTAATTGATAAGTTTGTCACACCTTTTAAATTTTGAATCATCTTGCAATACTATATATACACAGAAAGCTAGATTTTGTACATCAATATCCCAGCACTAATAGCGGATCGATCGAGGATTTGAACTTCATAGGTTCAGGATGCTAATTGAACCTACTGACTATTTGAGATATTAGGTTTGAAATTTAACATCTGTATATATTTAGTAGATTTCTTAATACATATATAGGGTCTTGGCTAAAGCTACTAGTTTCGGCTGAACCGATCCGCCCTTGCAACTGAATGAGAGAATAATACTTCTAATTATTAATTAATCACTATGGAAATCAACAAGAATCATAACCAGGGGTGTCTTGATCGGGTTGAATGCAATCAATAGGAGGGGTTGTCTTTGTTTTCAATTTTCCATAAGTTTGCCAACAATAAGGTCCATGAAAATTCTCCTTTTCTGGTGAAGGTTTAAGCTCTATGTCTGCAAGGGAAACACCAGTGCATGGCACAGAATCACTGCATGCAAAATGAAGTGGTTCATATGAATAAGTTCCTTTTATTGATTGATATGAAACCCCTGAGATGGCCACTGCTGATGTCTGATTCTTGCATTTGCTTTTATCACAATAGAATTGATCTATCATTATTGGTGTTTCCACATCTAAAACTTGGATATTTGCAAACATGATTCCTTGAACTGAACCTGAGCCTCCCTGGAGTTTCAAACAAATTATAGAGACTTAATTAATTACCATGAAAGCTTTTTGGAAGTGTTTTTTATTGGGCAGCAGAAGCAAATGGAATATATTGTATGTGCGTTCAGCAGAACCTAGTATATATATATATATATATATATATATATATATATTAAAGGTATGATGAACTAAGTGCTAAGAACCATATAGATAGAATCCATCAAATTTAAGTTATGGATCCGTTCAAAGGATAGCCTAATAGCAACTTTGTAGTTGTTTATTGAATGAGTAACATTTAGCATGTTTGACCGAACTATCAAAATCTATTTATTTTTAAAAGTAATTTTTGTTAAAAGTGCTTCTCTAAAAAAGTACTTTTAGAGGATAACAGTTTGTGTTTGATTAAGCAATTTGAAAAGCACTTTTGATAATATTAGAGGAGCAATTTGTGCTTGGTCACTATTTCAAAAAGTACTTTCAGGAAGAAGTTACTTTTATCATCTTCTGAAAAGTAGCTTCTGCTGTTACTCAAAAGTACTTATTTTTGTTTTAAAAAGTTTGACCAAATATTTCAACTATCTAAAATAAGCACTTTTGGCTACTAAGAAGCTTGGCTAAACAGGCTTTGTAATATTTTCTAACAAAAAATCATCACCCGGAATGGATTTTTAGTTTTGGTTTAACTTATATAACATCATCAACAAAAAGATAGTTTACCTGCCATGTTTTGATTCGTACACCAGTCAAAGTATTATGTAGTGTGGAATCACGAACTGTTATGTTGGAGACACAGGCTTTGGTGTTGTCTTTTCCCAGCCCTCCTATGCTAAATCCATGTCCAGGTCCACACTTCACATCCTGAATGAACACAGCTGAAGTTCCACTTTGTATAGAGATGCAATCATCTCCTGCAAAATGTGTATGGTTAACCTGATAAGAAATAGTATTATATTTAACCTGCTATTACAAGGTAAACTCCACTTATATAGTCCCTCTGTTTAAAAATAAGTGAATTTTTAAATATTTTGGGAGTTAAACAAGGTTTTATTTGACTATATTTTTTGCAAATAGTATTTAAATATTTTGAATTATTAACTATTGTGACTTATAGTACTTTTCTTTTATAGTTTCTACGTATATAACTTTTATTTCAAAAAGCTTAAAGAATCTATATCTGAATTTACATCAAAAATTAGTCAATTTAACTTTCGTACTCCGAAATGGTTCCAACAAATTTAAACGGCAAAAAACATGTAGGGAGTAATATAAAAAATCGTGTATATAACTTAATTCCTTTTGTTTTCCTTGGGTTTCGGCATGTATCATTTTATATTAATGAATGTAAGCTATTGACGCATATTATAAAAAGTTTTTACATGATCAGTATAGTTTAACCTACTATAGCATGTTAATTACTTTTTTTTTTATAAGATATTTAACAGTTCACGTTTACCATATAAATTTACATGTAATTACTTTATACATCGTGGCATGATTATGTAGATATTGATGTCATCACCAGTCAATACATTTGAACTTAAACTCTTATATTATTGTTCTAGTTATGAAGGGGTCCCTTTCATTTGTGTTTATAAAAGAAAAACAATCATGTATAAAAAAGTACCATTATTAAAACATGCTATACGATACAGACTAAAATATTACCACAAGCAAGATCACTGCTATGGATAACAACATTTTGGGAGTTCTGAAGGTGAATTCCATCTGTATTGGGGCTATCTTCTGGGGATGAAACTGTGATACCTGAAACTTGAACACTCACACAACTATCAAACTTTACATGTGCTTTTGGGCTGTTTTGGATTGTTATTCCTGTTACTACCACATTAGAACACCCATAAAACCTCAGAGCCTGCACAAAATGAAAAATCCACTTAATAACCCTACTAATTTTTGTTGAATGATTTGGTACATGTATATGTAATTGATTTTAAGTTATACACATCGTCAGTGCAAAGAATTTCTATATTATATCAGGCCATCCAAAAGATATCTAAAGGAAAACATTCTTAAAATGTGAGATTTGTAATCTTGAAAATAAGACCTGCTTGCTGTAAAGGTAAATATGACCCGATGATAAAAAAATTCTTTATGGTGACGGTGTAATATATAACTTAAACTCTATGTAATTTAGCAGATGGAACTCACTGTTGGTCTGGTTCTGGGCATTTTTCCTTTTGCTGTGCTACTTGTCTGTCCAAGCAGTCAAGCACAATTAAAGGCAATTAAGCAGTAAAAAGTGACAGTGTTAGGACTTACAACAATAACAATATACCCACTATAATCCCACAAGTATTAATGCTGATTTTATTAACGGGATATTTCTTATACTAATTTGCAGACTTGTACGTAGAACAAAGAAAAATGCTATTCAGACAAGGCAAAATTTCCTTTAAAATGTTACTATACATTACATGGTTCAGGACCATGATGGACTCTCTCTTCATCATTAACCCATGTGGGCCCCGCCTCATCTACTCTTGAAATGTGAGGGTAAGATGTTAGAGAGAGTATACTTTTAATTACTCAATTATGTATTTAACAGACTTCCCCGCATATTGGTTTGATTCTTTTTTGATGAGTTAAATATGTGAACTTTTGTTTTTTTTTAATGGGTGGCGATGAGACTAAAACAAACCACTACTTTATTTGATATTATGTTGAAATATATGATAATTTAATCTAAAAGATTAAGTTGTTAGGGAGAATAAATTTTATTTATTTAATTATGTTTCAACATCTACGATGAAAAGAATTAGATCAAGAACCATATATGCAAAATTAGCTCCAAAATTGAGAAAAAAATTTCTTGTACGTTCATTCTATCAATATGGGTCGATCAACTAAGCCTAGACATATATACTGAATATTTTTTTCCTGCTTTATGTTGAGTGTCACATAATATTTTTCAAAAGTTCTGAGTTACACTTGACCTTTTCTTGACTTAGAATAAGACTAAGTTATGTCATAGAAAAGTTCTTTCCAAAAGTGTACTGATGTATAAATTCTAACCTTTTCTCAAACCCCAAAAAGGAAAGAAAAGGGATAGAGAAAGTAATAGTGATTACCAAAGCAAATAGCGTAGTAATATTTGGATCATCATCAGGATCTTCTAAATGAGTGTTTTGCCACCAAACTGAGCCTTGACCATCAATAGTTCCTTTTCCTTTAACAGATATTCCATTTAGCTTTTTGAATTCAAGCCATTGCAATAGCCCTTTTGAACCCCAAACTTTAGGGTTTGTTGGTGCTATAATTCTCCCATCCAACTGTTCAAAAAAACAAAACAAAAAAGAGAACATATAAGACAAAGATAGATCTCAATGTGTTATGCGAAAAGAATAATTTGTGTTGAGCCAAATTTAAGTAAATAAAAGTGCGCCATCATAGTTACAGAGAGTGGACAGTTCAAATTTCACCGGCATTCTTATCAAAAGAAAAACAAAAACCATGAAAAAGAATTAAGCTTGCACATGAGGGAACGTATTGAGACAAGAATAAAGATGCATATCTCGCTCTAATATTTTAAACTTTAAGATGAGATCGACACTTTAACAATTTTTACTTAATTTAAAGTGGATTGAAATTATTTACCAGGAAAACAATGTTTTCTTCGCAGTGTGGTCCTGAAAAAGAGATGGGTCCAACTAGGAAATCATAATCTGATGGAATCACTATAGTTGATCCTTTAACTTTACAACCTTCTATCCATGTCGCTTCAAATGCCTGTCAAGAAATATTAGGTAACCATGTAGAATAAAAACTTGTAGAAATAAGTATGAGGAACAGACATGTAATGCAGAAAACGCTACAGCCATATACCTGTTGTGAAATTCGTTGGTTAGGTCTGAACGAAAACAATTTTCTTGGCATGATTAAAAAGAAATCATTATGCTTTAACCATGCTTACATAATTTAACTTCCTTTTTTTTTTTTAATTCTTCTTGTAGCCCGTCATTAACCGTTGAAGACATAACTAAGTGATACCAACAGTACACTTTCTAATAATTACTTTAGATAAAATATCGTTGCACATATCAATATGGTATTCAAAGCTGCTAGAAGTCTCTACTGTCATTTATTATCAAAAGAATTTAAGTTATATAGATTATAGACTGATTCTGTATGAATTTTGTACACAATCAATGTAATTTAACCAATTATAATAAGTTACTTCTCCCTCCGTTTCAAATTATATGAACCTATTTCTTTTTAGTCCGTGCCAAAAAGAACGACCTCTTTCCATAATTGAAAATAATTTATCTTTATGCAATGATTTATAGCCACACAAATTATATATGCCTCATTTTGCACCACAAGTTCAAAAGTCTTATCTTTTTTCTTAAACTCTATGTCCAGATAGGTTCATATAAATTAAAACAGAGGGAGTACCGTTTATTTTAGGTTAACGATCAATGCGATTAAGTATAGTTACCTGCAATTACATTTAAGTGTCATGCTTGTGTAAATATATTTTACACTGTTAAAGCATAAAATTTAAACTCTTAAAAGAACTTCACGCAATTGGTACAATAAACAACCAAGCTTGCATAACACGTGTAAAAGACATAATTAAATAATTAAATATTAACATTCTCAATGACTTAGAATTTTAAATAAGATAATCACATACTTTAACATTGTGAAATATTATATTATAGAGCATCTTACTTTGGTGTCATCTGTAGTACCGTCACCTTTAGCACCATAGTCTAATACATTAAAGACAGAAGAATTCTCATTGCATATTGCACTCCCCAAAAAACAGATTAGTAATAACAGCAAAATGACTAACTTCAAGAGATTTACGCTAAACCTCAACATTTTTATGAGAGGGAGAGAGAGAAAGTTAAGGGGTGTACTCTTAATTAGTTGATGATGTTAATTAATCCATAGAATATATATTTATAGGCTTAAGCCTTCTAATAAACCTAACAGTTGCAATCATGTGATGAACATCACCTTTCTTGTAGTGTTGGATATATACATTCTTCTCTTTACCATCAATGAATTGAAAACGAAGAACAATCTTTAATCATTAAAGACGAGAACACGAGACTCAACTATATTTCGAATAGTTAATGATTTCTTTATGACCATATCTTAATTATCTTGTTTAATAAGGTATTTTAGTTAACAAGAATAATATTCTTTTAAGCTAAAAAGAATAATAGGAGTTACGTGTGTGCATGATGTAGCTGCTTTTCTTTCTGCTATTGATGTATCTTTTGACTCAACATCCCCTACTCGATCTTACTTGCTTGTAGGTGAGACTAATCTAGATTAATCTTCAAATAACTTGCGGTTGACAAGTACAACTTGTTGAAGTTGAAAACATTCCTAAATAGATGTGCTCTAGGAAAATAATGACTACCAAGTATTTCACATATTACCTTTTGTAGAGAGAAGTTAGTGGAATATGATAGAGATAAACGCAAGAGTTACGTAGTTTTGCTTATGCATTAATTATCTTGATGGTATCAAATAGGTCGGATGAGTAGCAGGGATAAGTAATTCGAGTATGTATAATTTGACGTTTAGCTCTTTTGGTGTGTTTAGTACGTAGGGAAATATTTTCAATATCTATATTTTATAAATAAAAAAAAAGTAGTTTTCTTACATAATTTATGATATTTGGTTATTAGTTAGCAGAAAATATTTTTTGAAAAATTATAACATACGTAAATACTATGGGAGATGAAATAGGTGAGGAAGGGGTGGGGAGAGGAGCAAGGCGCTGGGGGTCTGGATTCGGGGTCAAGGTTAGGGGTTAGTGTCCAGATCATATAGGGGTTCGAGGTCGGGGTCGAGATTGGGGCTCAGGATTGCTGAGCAAGGTCGGATTCGAGTTCGAGTTTGGTATCGAGATTCAGAGTCAGCCTCAGGAATGGGGTTCAGGGTTGTGTTGGTGTAACGACCCGACCGGTCGTTTTGAGAATTGGCGTCCCGCTCGGTCGCTTAAGGTCTCGAGTAGCTTCGTATTGTGTATTATAACTTGTGTGTATGGTCGAATTCGGTTTTCGAGTGTTTCGTGATTGATTTGGAAGAATGATTCTTGTTTAGAAGCTTAAGTGGTAAGAGTTGTCCGGAGTTTGGCTTTTGTGTAGACGACTCCAAAATGATGTTTTGAGTATTCCAATAGATTTGTATGGTGATTTTAGACATAGGCGTATGTCCGAATTTGGATTTGGAAGTCCGTAGGTTGATTTGATGCATTTTGGCAAAAGTTGGAAAGTTGAAGGTTTGGAAGGTTGAGAGGTTTGACTGAGAGTTGACTTTATTGATATTATTTTCGGATTGTGATTCCGGGAGTTAGTATATCTCCGTTATGTCATTTGGGACTTGCATGCAAAATTTGATCTCATTTGGAATGTGGTTTGGTATGTTTCGGCACAAGTGTAAGAAGTTGGAAGTTCATTAGGCTTGAATTAAGGTGCAATTCGTAGTTTCGATGTTGTTTGGTCTGATTTGAGGCCTCAAGTAAGTCCGCGTTATGTTTTGAGATTTATTGGAGTGATTGGATAGGGTCACAAGGTATTGGAGTGATTGGACAGGGTCCCGAGGGCCTCGAGTGTATTTTGGACGAGTTGCAGATCATTTTTGGACCTTGTTGTATTGCTGCAAAAATCTGTGTACTAATGCCTTCGCACCTGCAGATAAGGGACTGCAGCAGAAGCGGCAAAGCGACCGCAGGTGCGACTTGGGTTGGTGAAGGCAGGGACCGCAGATGCGGTCGATCTATCACAGAAGCGGAACCACACTTGCAGTGAGTGGCTGCAGAAGGGTGAGCGCAGAAGTGCTTTGTGGACCGCAGATGCAGTGGGCCGCTAGTTGATGGGTTCTCGCAGGTGCGAGACTATTTCCACAGAAGCGGCCGTCGCAGAAGCAACCATTTGACCGCGAAAGCGGAATTTCTACAGATTACATATATTTTGAGGGCTTTCCCATTTTTATCATATCTTCAGTTGTAGAGCTCGGTTTTGGGTGATTTTGTAAGGGATTTGTTACAGCCCATTTTTTCATACGTGAGAGTACGCTATAAGCCAATTAATGTAAGCTAAAAAATGAGATCATATTTGAAAGTACATAAAGTAAGTTAATCATATTTCCGTGGAGGTTACAAATATTTATGATCATGAATTACAAGTACCAAGAGGGTTGGAAAGGCTTAAAGCTAAACAAATTGAATAAAATAAGTTTCGTCGAAAGTCGACAAAGTAAGGTATGTTATAACATGTACTTTGGGGTGAGACTAGGGTACCCAACATGATAATGTTATGTGTTATTTTAGTCTTATGATAGTCGTGTGTTATATTTTGAAGTCAAGCAAGTTGTGGAACAAAAGTTGGCAAAGGTCATCACTAGTTACATTCATAAATTTACTGAAAATTAGGTCAAACATAGCTGAGCGTTTCTCCCAGTGTACTGAGAATTATGGGATGATGCACCTACCAAATTGAATATGTTGGCCCAAGAATAGGTGAAGATTTGAAGATTGACAAAAGAACTCAGACATGGACCAGGTCCATCTTGTGAAGCACAGTTATGATCAACCTGTACATGTGAGATGCACGTGAAAGAGATAAATCTAACTGATCAAGAAGCAATATCTCCTGATCTGATCGAAAAGGTTGCATATTGGATAAGGAGAGAAAGACTCCTTAGATGAAGAGAATACAGTTTAGGAAAGAGATAGTTTTAGAGTTTGAGATCACCTTGAACTCTTCTACGATAGAAGAGTAGCATTTGAATCCCAGTCAATCTCTGATTACTAACCTATTAAATGTCAGTGCTGTTCTCTTTTACAGTAATGCACATAAGCAGAAGTTAAACTTAAATTGAGAGTAAAAGAGCAAGGCGATTTTGCAAGCAATTTATGTGTGATTGAAGCGTGCAATCTTGAAGCTACTTGAACGAGATAGAAGAACCAGTTCCAAGTGTCTATCTTTTATTCTAGTTCAATTGTAGTAGGTGTTTTTACTTTGTACCTTTCAGCTTTCATAGAAGCAATTGTATTAGGTACCTAGAGTGTTCAAGTTAGAGTTAACTTGAAGTTGTCGCAACAGTTGAGGCTGTGTGCCACAACGGGATTAGAGTTAATCCTTAGGTTTACAAAGAGTTTTGTAAATGCTATTTTGGCTCAGTGATTTTAGTGGAAGTTTGGGAAAATCCTACTGAGTAGTAGGTCATGGTTTTTTCACCTTTTGAGCCAGGTGTTTTCCACGTAAAAATCTCTGTGTTCTTTATTTTCTTTATTTATTATTCCGCAAACAGTAGAAGTTGGAACACATAGAAGAACCAGGTCCTTCTATAGTTCAGTTAAGCGCAAATTGGGCACCACACAAATCACCCCCCCCCTCTTGTGTGGTATTGACGTTTAAAACATCAATTGGTATCAGAGCGTGTTATCCTTGAAGAGGTTAACACCTTAGGGGAAGATCAAGATGAGTGCACCACCTGGAAACTAGGAAGGGCAATCCACTGCTAGGCCTCCACTCTTTAATGGTCAGTACTATTCTTGGTGGAAGAACAGGATGAGAGATCACATCATAGGAGAAGACTATGAACTCTGGGACATAGTCACTGATGGTCCCCTGGCGACTACAAAGAAGAATGCTGAAGGAGTGGACGTGCCAAAGACAAGAGCTGACTGCACTGCTGAAGACTTGAAGAAATGGGAAAAGAATGCCAAGGCCAAGAAATGGCTTGTGTGTGGACTGGGTCTAGACGAATACAGCAGGATTCAAAGATGTACCACTGGTAAGGAGATATGGGACACTTTACAAGTGGCTCATGAAGGAACTCCTCAATAAGAGATCATGAGGAACACTGCTATATTCTCAATATGAGAATTTCACTATGAAGGAAGGAGAAACTTTCCAGGAGATGTACACAAGGTTCATAAAACTAACAAATTAACTTAAATCTCTTAGGAGAATTATCCTTGAAGAAGACAAGGTTGAGAAAATCTTGACAAGGGTCTTACCAGTGACTTGGGAAAGCAAAATCACTGCTATTCAGGAATCAAAGAACATTGCTACTCTCAAGTTGGATGAACTGATTGGAAACCTCACTGCCTATGAACTGAGAAGGCAAGCCATGAAAATGGATGCACCCAAGAAGGAAAGGAGTCTGGCTCTCAGAATAGCTGAAGGTGCAGATCTGGAGGATGATGAAACGGCCATGATCACAAGGGATTTCAAAAAGTACCTAATGAGAGGAAAGGGTTCTTCAAGAGGTATAACCTTCAACAAACCAAGGGCTCCTTGAGAAACAGACTAACGAGGGTTGCTATAAATGTGGAAAGACTGATCACATGATCAAGAACTGTCCTCAGTGGGAAATTGAATGGAAGAAGGAAAGGGCTGAACGAAGGAACAGGTTCAACCCAAAAGGAACAAAGGATCAACAAAGGCTGTGGTTGCTGCTTGGGGAGAAACATGAAATGAGGATTCAGAAGACGAAGCTGGATATGAACAAGCACTTATGGCCATCGGAGAATCAGATGATGAACAAGAGGTAAGTCATGTGCTTCATCTCAAAGACAAGATTAAATTTCTGTTTAAAGAAAGGTTGTCTAAACTATTGCTAGACTTCATCGATGAGTATGAGATAATTAACAATGAGAAGGAAGAGTTGTCTAGGGAGTGTGTGATCTTAAAAGCCAAGTGCAAAAATCTAGAATATAGGGCTAATGAGAGTGACAGTAAAAATGCTGAGTTGAAGAACCAGGTTCTTGAACTTGACACCAATGTCCTAGAACTTAGGCCTGAAAATCTAAAACTGAAATTAGGAACAGGTAAGAAGAAAGCTGATCACACACATTTCACCTTAGAAGAAAACCTAG